CAAATTCCTGTGTCTAGCCGAGAGCTCCGCTGACGCTAACAGGGATCGGAGACCTGACGGATCGAGCTGCTCCGATCGGTCGATTCCTAGCCGGTCGGCGGCCAACTTGTTCGTTCGTCGATTCCAGGCAGCGTGCACTAGCTCATGGATCATCTTCGGAGCGGTATCGGTTAGGGCGTACTGGCGTCCAAGATCGGTGACTATCTCGAACGAGGACAAGAATTGCCAGTCAATTCGCTTCAGGCTCAAGATTGCTGCACCTGCTGGCCCTCTCACCCTCCCCAGTTGGCATGAGGCTGCTGAAGGACTTCACGAAATAATCGCCCCAGCTCGGAGAGAGGGCGGATAGATCTGAACCTCCCATTGCTCACTGATTTCCATACGATCGAGGCCCACTGCGTCGCTGGACCCAGCCCTTGCTTACAAAGTGGGTCACTCAAGACTGCTCGGGATGTGCTGCGTGAGCGGCTCTTGCAGGAGCCGCCGACGAGGGAGATGTAATGCGTCTGGGCTGCACTGAGCTCCGGGGAAGTGAACCCCACGACCTCTGCACCGTAAAAGCCTGATGCCTGAAGACCTGACACATAAAGCTTCTTCAAAGGGGCTCCAGTTTTCTTCAGGGCACGGAACCGGGATCCACGTTTCTTGAGCGTCGAAACACGCTCTGCTAGTAGCGTAGTTTTTTTGGCTTTCTCGGCCCCACAGAAGAAATCTACTCCTAAGTTGGGCGTCGACGAGAGGGCCCTGCCAGCTTACTTCCCGAAGCTCGTTTTTAACGTGTCCGTGGGCCTGGGGCAGGAAGATACGATTACAGACTTACGCTGGGCGACTTGACACTCCAACTCGTGCTGGATCATGCTGGACAAATCCGCCGCCGACGCCGTTAGCTGATTGACTACTTCCTGCCGGCTGTCGCTGGTGTTGTTACTTTGAAGATCGTCGATCAACATCGTCGCAATGACTGTCGGGTGCCGCTTCTGCCACACTCTGAGCGGAGGCAAGGAATACACCTGCACGATGAAGGTAGCAAATGAGCAACCCGCTGCGATCCCGAAGTGAGGATATTGGAGTTCAACTGCCAGGCCTGGGAAACTGAAAAACCTCTTGGGCGCATACTGGTTGAGCACCACCGCTAGTACTGTGAGGGAGAACTGGGACTCTTTGGCCCTCGACCAGACCAGTTCTCTACAGACGTGCTCGTCATAGTTACTGATGTCCCATAGAACGGATCCCGAAACCATGTTCCTGGACAAGGTCGTGGATTCAGCTGCCAATGATTGCAGGTATACGATCTCTAGAATTGATCTGCCAGACTGGTGGGCCATGGGGGGGTCGAAGTTCCTTGCCTCCCATCCTCTACAGACAGGTTGCCGTAACCTAGATCACATCCGGTAAGCACTGGGAAGGCAAACGATTCCACGAACACTTGGGCCTCAATCATCAGGCTTGTGCTTGGGAATGAGAGTGGTGTACAAGGCTAGCACCACACTTGGCATCTTACCCACTCTCTCTCTATCAGCTGAAACAGCTTGACGGTAACCAAACCTGATCTAGTTCGAGGAACCCGTAGTGCCTCGGGTGGAATCCGTCCCAAGTCTGACTGGTCTTGCGGGAAAACAGCCTGGTGACCATGATGAATTGTTCCACCGATATTTCTGGGAGCTGCGCTGCATCTGATGGGTCGGCCTCAACAGGGGGAGATGGTGTGGACGTGGGTTCCCACATACCTTCTAGACGCCGGGCTTCCACTTCGAGAAGGGCCGAAGGCTTTGCCGAGGGAAGTAGGGCCTGGGGGGCCGTGGGCTTCCAGAAATCGGTTGGTTTTGTCCACCTGTGGGCCCGCCCCGAAGGCATGCCCTCTAGGTTTTCTCGCACCCATCCCTTCCATGCTTCTGCCGATCCCTTCCTCTCAACCTCCTTTTCCTTCTGGAGGATGAGCTCGATGTCGGCATAAGGCTTCGTGAAGATCTCCCTGGGCACTATTGAACCACATCTCCCTGCCCGGGCGTTTGTGGCCAAGGCGGTCAGAAGAGCCTTGGTCTCAGTGTGCACTGCAATGAGGGTCTGTACCGATTGGTGCTCTTCTGGCGCCTCGGAGAACTCGGAAATAACATGGTCGACGAACTCTCTGGATATTTCAGGGCCCGCTTCCACATGCCTCAGCAGATGTTGCAATACGTTCTGGAGCCAAGTCATTGGCTTGACGAGTGAAACCCAAAATTTCCGCGCTTTCTTATGTACAGCCTGCACTGGGACAAGCTTTACTCTAGGATACTGCTCCCTCCTGGAAGACTTGGGTCTCGGGGTATCCGTCTTCAGACAAACGACATGCTCGAAATGCTTGACGAAGAGACCATACACGGCATCTAGTAAATCATGGCTGTCCGTTTGGGGGAGCTGGTTAGTTTGGATAATCTCCAACGTCACATCCCAAAAACGGTCAAGATCTTCCCAGTCTGCACTTTCTGGCGCTGGCCCAAAGGGTCTCTTGGTGGGACGCTGAGGTGGTAGTACGAAAGCTGGCACCTTTTCCAAAGCCTTCACCCTTATCGAAAGAATGACTGGTCGGTGAGGTGAAAGGGGGTAGTCCGTAGCCGACTCGATTCCCTCCACCTGGCTCTTGACGGCCGCTATAGCATGAAGAAATCGATGGTTGTCTCATTTTTGCGGGTTGAGTAGGTGAACTTTTGGGGGACGCAGAGGGTCAGAGAAGCCATGTTGAAGTCCCCTCCTGCTAAAAGCGGCAACTCAAACTTGTCCTGGAGACTACCGGCGGCACCAAGCAGCTTCATATTTACCTCTTTTAGGCCCGTGCTGGGCTCGAAGTAGAGATTGCAAATCAGAAAACGACCCAGATTCTCAATATCAAGCTTGATGGCAAGCCCTCGGTGACCACAGGGGTATTCGAAATCAATGTCCTGGATCCCGAAGTTCATCCCCATCCGAACAAGAATTGCGACTCCTCCAGAAAACTGTCCAGATTCGAGGCGCCTCGAGAGAGGAAAGACTCCATGCAATACATGTGCCATGCTGAACTCCACTGCGTTCCGAAAATCATCAGTCGAAGCAGCGTGGGTCTCCTGGAGCAAAAGGACGTGATACTTGAGAATTCTATCCGAGTCGATATCTGCTTGGAAGTATTCCACGAATTCACATTTATAGTACCCACTTTGCACTGCCAACTAGTGGCGTCCTTGCCCCTGGGAAACCTGCCGGATCAAAGTTGGCACCCAGCACCCCCGCCCTCCACGGGTTGTGGGGCCTCCACTAGAGCCGCTTGCGGCCGCAAGGGCACCTGGGAGGGATGGTTGGGCGGACTCTGCGAGGAACCGGGTTTCTTCCAAGAAGACCTGGAGGTCGCCCTCGTCGCTTCCGTTCCCGTTCCCGCTGCCCCCTCGGCCCTGTTTTCCTTTTCCCACGGCCTTGCCCTTATCTGGGGACTTCTTGAGGGAGGAGATGAGAGGAATAGCCGCACCACACTGCTTGGAATGACGAGCTGCGACACCCCGTAACCCATGAGAGACTCTGGTAGCAAGAACACTGACCGATCTTTCTCGTGCCTCCTCCTCCATGGGCGCGTCAGCGGCTGCTCCTGCTGACTCCTCAGCTCTTGCTCCTGCTCCTTCTGCACCTGCAGGGTCGAGGGCGGAATGAAGGTCCAGGGCCGCTGATGGGGCTGTGGGCGCCATAGCCGGCGCGTTGGTGCGGGCAACCTGATCAAGTAGAGCCGATAGTTCAAGGATCATCGATTGGACGGCATTCTTTTGTTCCGGCGGCAGCTGTGGAAGTTCATGAAGAGTAGCTTGCTGCATTTGCTGGACGTGCGTGAATCGGTCGTCCTGCTGGTCCTCAACCATGGACGCTGCTGCTGCTCGTGAGATGGTGGCGTAGGAGACTTCAAGGTTTTGATTTCCTGGGCCGTGGAATCGGACTCGAGCTGGAGCTGCTCGTGGCGCTCTATCTGCTACTTGATGGAGGCCTCGAGGGCCGCCATTGCGCTAAGAATTGTAGCCAACTTCCTGTTTTGGATGTTGATATGGTCGGCCAGCGACTTGGCCTGAACTGGTAGGGGTCGACTTGCAATGGCGGCCGCCTTTGCGTCCTGGAGGGCCTGCTGGGCTTGAAGAAGCTCTGGCTCACCTGGCCCATAAAAGCTTTTAGCGATGTTGAGATCGACCTGGGCCTTGTAGACTTTTCACGATCACCCCATTTAGTGTTTTGGAGTCCGACCTGTTTGGGTGGGGGCACGGTGGTCGACTGCTGCTGGACGTCGCCGCCGCCGCCTCCACCTCCCACACCACCTGCTGCTGCATCGTCTTCCACCCACTTCCAACCGCCCCGTCCAGTCCCAGTCCCCCATGTAGCTGAGGTACTCCAGGGAGGAGTCGAGGAACTTGGGTAGCGTAAGTCCTTGGGGAAAATCTCCCTGCAATACTTGCACCTTCGCTTCCCCTTGCAAGGCCACAACCAGCCTGGGCAGCGTGGCGTCGCGCATAGCCAGAAGGGGGAAGACATGGCGTCAGGACTAGTCGTGCGATATGAATGAAGGTTCTGATGGGAAGCCTGACAGAACCCGCGCTGGTGCACAAAGGAATGGTTGGCGGACAACCTTGGGCCGAGGTTGGAGGGAGCCCCACACGAGGAGGCCCGTGGAGGCTTGAGCCAAAATGGCTACGGGGAGGTGGAGGAGGAGGAGGAGGAGGAGGAGGAGGAGGAGGAGGAGGAGTACGGTGGCGGTAGAGGCGTCGCAGGGTGAAGGACGTGGCGGCATCATGTTCTTTCCCAGCCACGTCGATTTCTTTCCAGGTCGCGGTGCTTCCCTCGGGCATGGCGGAGATTTCCCAGGGTACGGCGGAGCGTTTCCTGGGTCGGGATATCCTGGGCGCGGTCAAGCGCTTGCCCGCTTCGGAAGTCGGCCCAGCGAGGGGGGGCGCTTTGGACAACCACAGAGTCAGTGCCAGACCAGTTGCACGCATTCTCACACTCCACTATCGCGCAAGCGCGGTGGCGGATATGGATGCAGACACATATGTCGCGAGCGGTGCATTGGGCCTTCTGCTGAATTCCAGCCAGACCATTCCCAGGAACAACATTGGCATGGTACCGAATGGGTGCGATAGAGGTTTCAGCTCTGGTGTCATGCTTTTCAAGCCAAGTCTTAAAAAGTACCTAAGAATGGTATTTCACATGGCGCAAGTCCTCACGGGCAATGCGTCCAAGCGGAACGACGAGCAGATCATCAATGCTTTGTACGAGGGCAAAATTTCCGAGTTGGACAGTAAGTTCAATTGCATGAGTCCAACGGGCGTGAACTTGAACCATTCGTGCCAGAAGCGGTGCGCAGAGGTAGTGGTATCGCACTTCACTGGTCTTCCAAAGCCGGCTCGGGCAGATGTCGAGTCCTTCAGCCTCGTCCGAGGCACCGCTCCCTCTGTTCAGCGTAACGGTGACGCCATGTCTCGCTTCTACTGCGACCTCATCGATAGCCAGGCGTTGTTGACGAGGCCGCTGCAGCGCATCGTCTCCCGTGCTGATGCTTGCTGCCACACGCCAGCCCTCGAGAGCGACCCTCCTGCTTGCGCCGGAGTGCAGGAGAAGTGCCCTGCGCAGGTGCTGATGGAGAGCAGCGAGCGAGAACAGCGAGCTTGGTTAGGAGTGTACAACAGGACGGGCATTGTTTCGGACGCCGACTTCAACGGAGGGCGGCCCATCTATGCTGGGCCGGGCAGTTATTTTTTGTATCGACGGCGCCTCCCGCGAGTCATCGCCGTCCCGTCTGGTGGAGGACCCCAAGTTGGTTTCTCTTGGGTCCCTCTTAAAGGCATCCTGGTGCCTCTTGTTGTCTCGTGGGCGGGGCTTTGGGCCACTGTGCTTTTCTTGGCCGTACCCATCTCGGGTCGTCTTGCGGTTGTTTTGGGGCACGCCGTCTCTGGGCTCTTGGGGCCCTCTCGGGCCATCTTTGGGCACTCCTTGGTCCGTCCCGAGGCTCTCTTGGGCCATCTTGGGGAGCCCTCGTGGTCGTCTCGTGAGCCTCTGGGCTCTCTCTCGTGGTCCGTCTTGGCACCTACCCTGGGTGCGTCGTGGTGCCGCCCCGCGGTTGCTGCCAGGGGCTGCCCCTGAGCCCGGCCGCTCCCGCGCGCGACTCCGTGCTTCCTGAGGAAGGTTTTAGGAAGGTTTCTAGGAGGACTCCTCCGAAAAAGCCTTCCCCAGGAAGGTTTTAGGAAGGTTGTTGTGCGACTTCCTCCAAACGCTTCCCAACAACCTCCCTGAGGGAGAACTCCTGTAAAACCCTTACGAAAACCTTCCCGGTTTAGCCCCCGACGCGCGAGCGGATTGCCCCCTGCCGCGCCGCGACGTAAAACGTGCCTTGGCACCTGTGGGCCGCTGGCGTTCAGGAGGCGGCGGGCCTGGAGAGGCTGCGCTGCGGCCTCCGCCGCCGGCTCTCCCAGTGCCGAAAGCCCAGTTCCTAGTTTGGGTCTGTCTGTTGGCCTCTTCTTGGATCGTCCAGGTGGTTGCTAAGCAGATGGGGGGGTCAGATGTGGATGCGGACGTGGATTCCATCCAGCTTACCCCATCTTAGAGAAGTGTGTCGCACGTGCCCTGAGTGACTTGAGGGCGCACAGATCTGGGCCAAGTGAGCGGAGCCCACCTAGCGGAATTACTTCATGATTCTATGCGCCCCCAGGATCCTCCAAGATCATTTAGGATCCCTCAGGATCCCTCAGGATCCTTCCGGGTCCCTCAAAGTCCCTCAGGGGTTCTCAGGATCCTTGAGGGTCCGGGGTCCGTGAGGATCCCTGAAGGTTCTTCAGGATTCCTCACGGTTCCTAAGGGTTCCTCAGTGTTCCTCAGGATTCCTCAGGATCCGTCACGAATCTTCTGGATTGTGAGCATTCCTCGGGATCCCTCATGCACCCTTCAGGAATCCCTCGTGCCCCCTTCAGGATCACTTCTGCCCCTTCAGGAGTCCCTCATCCTTCCTTCAGGGTCCCCCATTGTCTCTTCAGGACCCCTCGTGCCCTTTCAAAAAGATTGCGGGATATCTCCGGTTATTTCACAATTCTGAAGACTCCGTACTAGTAAGTGGTCATACCTGGGACCTGTCTGGTTGCAATTTGCTCCGGACGGTTGTATTGGGACTAGTTGGTTGGGGTTCGTCCCATTTCCGGTTTTGGGGCCCCTGGTGGGGGCCCGCCTTGGGTTCGTTTTACACGCCTTTTGGGCCCGCTTGGTCTTCTGATTGCGTCCCCGAGGGGGTCCTGGGAAAACCTGGGAATGGCCAGGGAACTCTGACCACCTTTCCTGGGCGAGTGTGTTATCATCAGGTCTCCGTACGTACCATGAACCCCCCAATGTCCTCTTGGAAGATGGCAAACGGAAAGGGGCGTTTCGGGTGCGTGCGCCGGCCGTGGAGGCGGAGGTTTCTGAGTGGGTCAGTTCGTGCGTTGGAGACGAAGGGTGTCAAGTGCTGGGTGTTGTGTTGAAGACGGAAAGGGGTCGAGTAGAAGGTGATTTTCAAAGTCAGCTTGTGGATAGAGCCTGTGGGGTATGGGGTGTTGTGTTGGAGAGGGGGGCTGTTTATATTACGGTTGAGTATTATGTCATTTTCCAGTTCAGTTTGGCAGGAAGCCTTTGGAATAGCGGGTTTTGTGTTCGAGACGGAGGCTGGTTAGTATTTGATGTTGTTTTTGTAGAGGGCAGGGCTAGAGTATAGGGTTATGTTCAAGTTCAGTTTTGGGAGGGAGCCTATTGAGAATTGGTTGGTTGTGTTGGAGACGGAGGCTGTTGAGTATTGGCAGTTGTGTTGCAGACGGAGGGAGTCGAGTAGACGGTTATTTTTAAGTTTGGGTTTGGGCGGAAGCTTGTTGGGTCGTGGGTGCCAGGTTCATCTTGGGGAGGGAGCCTGTTAAGAATGTCGTGTTGTGTTGGAGACGCAGGTTGGTTAATATTGTGTGTTGTGTTGTAGACGGACGTGGTGGAGTAGAAGGTTATTTTCAAGTTCAGTTTGGTGAGGGAGCCTGTTGAGTATTTGGTACCGGGTGTTGAGACGGGGGCTGTTGAATACCAGGTGTTGTCTTGTAGACGGACGGGGTATCATAGAAGGTTATGATCAAATTCAGCTTGGGGAGGGAGCCGGTTGAGTATTTGGTGTTGTGATGGAGACGGATGCTGTTGACCACGGGGTGTTGTGGCGTAGACGGAAGGAGTGCAGTAGAAGGCTGTTTTCAAGTTCTTCTTGGGGAGGGAGCCTGTTGAGTACCGGATGTTGTGTTGGCGACGGAGGCTGTTGAGTACTGGGTGTGTTGTGTAGACAGGGGGTTTGAACAGAAGGTGATGTTCAAGTTCAGCTTGGGGCGGGAGCCTGTCGAGTAGTGGGCGTTGGGAATGGGTGCAGTACAAGTTTGTTTTAGAGTTCTTCTTGGGGAGGGAGCCCGTTGAGTACCAGATGGTGTTTTGGAGACGGAGGCTGTCGAGTGTTGGGTGTGTTGTGTAGACGGAGGGGGCTTGAGCATAAGGTGATGTTCAAGTTCATCTTTGGGCGGGAGCCTGTGGAGTAGTGGGTGTTGTGTGTGAGACGAAGGCTGTTGAGTCATGGGTGTTGTGTTGTAGACGGAGTGGGTCGCGTAGAAGGTAATTCCAAGTTCAGCTTGGGGAAGGATCATGTTGAGAATGGGGTGGTTTGTGTTGGAGACGCAGGATGGTTAGTACTGTGTGGTGTGTTGTAGATGGAGGGGGTGGGCTAGAAGGTAATGTCCAAGCTCGGCTTGGTGAGGGACCCTGTTGAGTCTTGGGTGTTGTGTTGGAGACAGAGGCTGTTGAATACTGGATGGTGTGTTGCAGACGGAGGGGGTTTGAGTAGAAGGTTTTCTTCCAAGGTCAATTTTGGAAGGGAGCCTGTTAAGAATTGGGTGGTTGTGTTGGTGATGGAGGCTGGTTAGTACTGGATGTTGTGTTTTAAGTGGGGGGGCGAGTACACGGTTTTTTTAAAGTGCTTCTTGGGGAGAGGGCCTGCTGAGTATTTGGTGTTGTGTTGGAGACGGAGGCTGTTGAGTATTGTGTTGTGGTGTAGACGGAGGGGGTCGAAGAGAAGGTCACTTCCAAATTCATCGTGGTGATGGGGGCCTGTTGAGTATTTGGTGTTGTGTTGGAGACGGAGGCTGTTGAGTATTGTGTTGTGTTGTAGACGGATGGGGGTCGAAGAGAAGGTCATTTCCAAATTCATCGTGGTGATGGGGGCCTGTTGAGTATTTCGTTTTGTGATGGAGACGGAGACTGTTGAGTACGGGATGCTGTATTGTAGACGGAAGGTGTAGAACAGACGGTTCTTTTCCGGCTCCTCTTGTATGGGAGGGAGTTTGTTGAGTATTGGGTGTTGCGTTGGAGACGGAGGCTGTGGAATAGTGGATATTGAGCTGTAGACTGAAGGGGTTGATTATTATGTGATTTCCAAGTTCAGCTTGGGGAGGAAGCCGCTTGAGTATTCGGGATTGTTGTGTTGGAGGCGGAGGCTGCTGAGTAGTGCAAAGGGTGAACATCGCCTTGAATTTCTGCCGAAGAGCCCTGCAAAACAGAAACCTCATTCTTGAGCGCGAGACTCATAGGAGTCATTCGTGGGTTCTTATATCAAATGCACGAATGGGAATTCATGGTGCGTGCGAGTCTCTCTCTCTCTCTCTCCATGTATTTATATATATATATACATACGTACGTACGTACGTACGTATGTATGTATGTATGTTTTTATGTATATATGTATGTATGTATGTATGTATGTATGTATGTATGTATGTATGTATGTATGTATGTATGTATGTGTATGTATGTTTGTATGTATGTATGTATGTATGTATGTATGTATATACATATATATAGGTATACGTTTTCGCATATGTGTATGTATATGTTTACGTACATACATATATACACATATACCGGTCTAGATGTATATGTGTAGATGTGTGTGTACCTATATATATATATATATGTGTTTTGTGGGCGCCGTGGCCCACGAGCCCTGGTAGACAGCAGAAAGGAGATAGGGTCGGAGGCGCGGGAGAGGCAGGAACTCGGGCGGGGCAGGGCGCGGCGCGCAGCGCACGTCTTGCAGCTGCTGCTCACGAGCGGCGGACGACACATGCGTACGTGTCCGCCTTCCTCGTGGTCGGGGTTCCCGAGCGCGATCCCTCACATACGCTCGGGCGGCGATAGGTTGGGGCGTCGATACATGGGGGGGGCGGCGAGGGCTGCCGAAAAGGGGCCCTCCAGGGCCCAGTGGGGCCCCAGCAGGGGGCCTTTCGGGCCCGAAACAAAAAACACCTTTCTCCCACCCCATGTATCGTTTCCCCATTGATTCGCGCTCAATGCGCGATCGCACGGATGCCTTCCGCGCGGGGCATCCGCGCGCAAGAGGGGCCTGTATTCGCGGGGTCACGGCCCAGAGGGGCCGGCCCGCGAGGCTGGCCACAGAAGACGTTGGACATGGGCAGGGCAGCTGTCCACCAGCGGTGTCGCGGCCTCGTGCCCCCCCAGAGAGGGGCCGACGGTTTTCGTGGAGAAGAAAGGCAATTGGATGGTTGGCCTGAACCACTCGAAAGACATTGCGGAGGGCTATTCGCACAAGCGTGCACCGTGCCCTCAGGAGGCGACGGAGTGGAAGCACCTCTCCCCCACGACGAAGGACTGGGTGCCCAGCAAGACCAGGCTCAGTTCGTTCGGTGAACCAGCCCCCCTGGCGGCCCCTATGACGGCGGCCGCTGGGACGTCTCCCAGTGGCCCTCCCCGCGCGCCCAGCCAGCTGCCCTCACCGCCAGCAGCCCCCGCGGCGACCTCCCTGGCGCCCCCCCCGCTGGCTCTCCCTGCGGCCCCGAAGGTGGCTCACCCGGCCGCTTCTCCTGGCGGCTTCCCGGGCGGCTTCCCAGGCGCACCGTCTGGCGGCCTCCCCGCCGCCTCCTCGGCGGAAGCAGATGCACTGATGAAGCGCTGGATTGAGGAGGCAGCCAAGAAGTCGGTGACGGCGCCCCGAGCGGTCCCCCAGGCAGGGCCTCCTGCGATCCGATTCGAAGCGATTCGATTCGCAGGCTGGGACCGCGATTCTGATGCGATTCGCCTCTGCTGGGTTCACTGGCATCGGCTGGGGTCAACGGTCGCAGGGCTCGGCGGTCCGACCTCGATTCGATCCGGGACGACTCGCTGTCGATGCGATCTGTCTCCGATCCGATTTCGCGATTCGATTACGCTCGTCGTTGAGCGAGGGGGGAAGTGAGAAGGAGATGGCCTGCTCAGAAAGCTGGCGGGGCTCTCGGAAGCCCTCTGGCCTCCTGAGAGGTCTTGGGTGTCTCCGGGCAAGGCTTGGGAAACTTCTGGGAGGCCAAGGGACGTCGGAGCCCTCCGAGGAGGCCGGCCCCTTCTCACTTCACCCCTGGGCTCGCCGCCGATCAGCTCAGTCCTGCCAGGCGACCCCCGCTGCAGCTCCCGCGGCGGACCCGCCGGTGGCCAGGCCGGTCGAGGCTGCCTCCTCGGCGGCCTCTGCTGCGGTGCCTGTGCAGGCGAAGCCGTACGCGATCGCGTTTTACGGCGGCATCACTGGTCTGATTTCAGAAGCAGGAACCAGATCGTGGAGCCAGAAGACGGCATCAGCATAGACTTGTGGAGGTCTGCGCTGGTGTCTAGGCTCGGCGCGGGACGCCCCTCCCTGGCGCGCGGAGCGCGCGTGGCTGGAGGCGCCGCCACGGTGCTCCAGCGCCGACCCGAGACATCCGCTCGGACCTCCGCAAGTTTATGCTTGTGCCGTCTCTTGCTCGTGGATCGTATACCTGGGCCGCTGCCCGTCCTGCAGAGCTCTCGTCGCCACGGTCAGATATTCCGTGACATCCTGGTCATCGTGCGCCCTGGGAGGGGTCAGGGGTAACGGTGCCTTTCTGCTTCCCCAGGTATACGTGGGAAGTTCGCCCAGGAATCATCGCAGAGACAGTTGCAGGATGGACCACAGGCGAGCATGAAGTCGACGGTGAACCTGTCGATCCCGGCCAAGCTGCTCGAAGAGAACCTTCTGGGTCCTACTGACGTGTTCATCCACTCGTGGAGCCCAAGCTATGGGGGCTCGCTGAAAAAGCTCTACAATCCCACAGTCGCGCACTATGAAGTCAATGAAGATGATATGCCCGAGATCAATGCAATGGCGGAACGTCTTCCGCATGGACACTGGAGCGGAGGCGACTACCCTCAAATCAACCACGTTTCGATGGTTCGTTCCCTGTCCAAGGTGCTGCAGATCATAGACGACTACCAAGAAGCTACAGGCCATGTGTACGATTCTGTGTTTCTATGTCGTCCAGATGTTCTGTTGAAAACGAAGATCGACTTAAACATGTCTTCACCTAGTCGACTTGAGACGCCCGGGAAAAACCAGAGACTGGCGGCTGTAAGCGAGAACGCTGTTTTTTACACGTCTGGGATCAGCGGGCGTGCAGACTTCCACTACCTCATGTCTGGGCGCAGCGTGAAGGCGTTCTCGACAGTGTACGATTCTCTGCCGAGCTTGACGAAGCCGATTATGGCCCACTCTGGATGGATGCAAGAATTCCTTTCACAGAAGAAGCTGCGCCCATCCCCCTCCGACACAATTGCAAGCACGGATGAGGAGGTGTACCAGGGATCGAGCTGAACGGTGTTTTGACGATTTCATGGACCGTTTTCGTTTTGAATTCGTTTTGCAGCAAAGGCAGAACGAAGGCAGAACGAAAGACAACGGAGACACAATGAAAACGAACAACTCTGTTTAGCTGGAGCCCTGAGGTGTACCGTAAAGTGCCAGACACGCCCGAGTGGAGGGCGGTCCTCGCACCCCTCATGCCGCCGCAGTGTATCGACCAGCTGGTGTCGCACAATGGGATTTCTGACGACTGTCTTGTGGACATGTAGCTGATGCGCCGGCACTGGCCCAGGCTGGACTCAGAGGAGGAAAAGGTACCCATACTGATATCTTTCGCTAGCTTTCCCCCTTTTTGGGCCTCCTGGGAGGCCCTCGTCCTCGCATCGACATTCAGGTCAGATCGCAGGTCTGGGGAGTAGTGGTAGCGGTGCCTTTTGGTTTTGGACGGGCAGCGTCAAATCTTGTCGGCGCAACGAAATTCGTTCAAGTCAGGGCGGTGCCCGTGCAAGTGAGGACTTGCCTGTGCATTTATGCTTGTAAGCTTCACGCCCTTTTCCAGACGAGCGACGCGCATTGTTAGTGGCAACGCGCCTTATGGGCTGAAGGGGTCCATGTAGATTGCTTCGACCTTTTGGGTCTGGAAGATGAGTACTTGTTGGTCCACACAAGCAGGTCGAAATCTGCACCATCATTGTTTGTAGCATGTTGGAGGTATGCACTGATTGATTCGAGCACATTGCGTGTTATGTGTTTCTGCGATCGTCCGTCTATACCTACAAACGGTGTGCCTGCCCGGGCAAGCCAAGACCACCTGCCGTGTTCTTTGTCACCCAGGGGGGGTACTGCTGCTGGATTACAGGTGAAGAGCAGAGGAGCGAGGGAGATGGGATGGTCGGCTGAGGAACTTAGCTCAAACTACTCGAAATCGGCGTCACCCAAACGTACGTCTACATGCATGTGCGTCGCCCCTTCAGGGGCGACGCGCGCACTCAGACATCGTCAGAGTGAGGGGGCTGAACCGAACGGTCATTCACTGTCCCTGGGTGCGTGGCTGAAGTGGAATTCCGCGATGCGGATGCTTGTTGTTGTTGTCGTCGTCCCACCCGCGACCCGCCCCGCGACCCCGTCCCACCCGCGACCCACCCCGCGACCCACCCGCGACCAACCCCGCGACCCACCCCGCGACCCACCCCGCAACCCACCCGCGACCCACCCGCGACCCACCCCGTGACCCGCCCGCGAGCCACCCAGAGACCCCCACGGCGACCCACCCGCGAGCCACCGGCGAACCACCCGCGACCCACCCTGCGACCCACCCTGCGACCCACCCGCGACCCACCCGCGACCCAACCGCGACCCACCGCGACCCACCCGCGACCCACCCGCGACCCACCCCGCGACCCACCCAAAATTTTCGGCGCCTGCGGCGGGTTTCTTTTGCATTCGTTCCAGGTGGAGAACCTGCGACCCACCCGCGACCCAAACCGAGCCCGCGACCCACCCGCGACCCACCGCGACCCACCCGCGACCCACCCCACGACCCACCCAAAATTTGTGGCGCCTGCGGCGGGCTTCTTTTGCATTCGTTCCATGTGGAGAACCTGCGACCCACCCGCGACCCAAACCGCGTTCAGTGTACAAATCAAAATTGTCGGCGCCTGCGGCGGGCTGTTTTTGAATTCCTTCCAGGTGGAGGTGGAGAGCCCGCGACCCACCCGCGACCCAAACTACGTTCACTGAACAAGCCAAAACTTCGGCGCCTGCGGCGGGTTTCTGTTGCATTTGTTCCAGGTGGAGAACCTACGACCCAAACCGTGTTCAGTGTACAAATCAAATTTTTCGGCCCCTGCGGCGGGCTGTTTTTTGAATTCCTTCCAGGTGGAGGAGGAGGAGGAGGAGGAGGAGGAGGAGGAGGAGAAAGAGGAAAAGGAGGAAGAGGAGGAGGAGGAGGAGGAGGAGGAGGTGGTGGAGGAGGAGGCGGACGACGACGACGACGATGAGGACAAGGACGCGGACGAGGAAGAGGAGGAGGAGGAGGTGGATGAGGAGGAGGAGGAGGAGGAGGAGGAGGGCGCCATCGTCATGGAAGGTGAGGGCCACGAGGTCCGCCAGCTCGTCGTTGATCGTTGACCGGCGCCCGCGCCCGCCCCCTCACTCTTATCCGCAATTGCGGGGTGCTACGTATAATGTATGCGTCGTGGCTGGCGCTTTCTGGCCACAGCGCTCGGGAAACGATATACTACAAGAAGCGTATGCTATATGTTCGGGTCGGAAGCGCGCCTCCAAGGAGGACGTATAGTACTACTATGTCTTTGCGCCTTCCATGAAGGACCACCCGAAGGCCTCCTAGGCCTGTCGATGGCCCGACACGCGAGGTGCGGCACGCGCTTCTTCGGTGAGATGATCTTGGCCTCTCGGGGGCCTCGCCTGGGAGGCGCAGGGGCCACCCCGAGGCTGTCTTGCAGCAGTCTCTGAGCAGTCTTGAAGCATCTTCGAGGCAATCTGGGCGGCCACTCGAGACTCTTCTCGGGGGGTGGGTGGGGGCATCTTGACCTCGACGGGGCATGTGGGCCCTTTTGGACGAGGTTTCGTCTCCTGCTCGATCCCCCCTCAGTTTCCCCATCGATTCAGTGATGGCCTGCATCTCCTGCGGGATTTTTTTTGTCTTGCCATGGTAACCAGAGTTGCTGATTTCGGACTGTCATCATCTAGTCCTGGTGACTATGCTGGACCGACCCGTCGTCGTCTTGCTTCACCTCCTCCCCTGCTCGTTCTCCGTCTCCCCCTTCTTGTCCCCCCTCCTCCTGCTTTGTCAGTACTTCTCCCTCCACGCCTTTTCCTTGCAAGTCACTCCCTGTCGCACCCCCAGACGTGTCGATAGGGCTGGCCAGGCGTTTCGCATGAGACATCCTCATCCTTTATGATCCGGGATGGAGGGTGTGCCGTTTTCGAACTGTGGTTATCGCCCAAGTGCCTTGTGCATACGTCTTACAAGTTTCCAGCAGTTTTAGAGATGGAGGGGGTGCGGTTTTCAAACTGTGGTTCTCGTATCAGCGCCGCGCACGCTGGTTTTATAATTTGCAATCGTTTCAGGGGTGGAGAGCGGGTCGTTCAAAAAATGACTCTCGCCCTAGCGCCGCGTGCATTCGTCTCCAAACATTGCAGCGCCTTATGGGATGGACAGGGGGGGCAGTTTTCAAAATGTGGCTCCCACATTCGCGCCGCGCGCATTCGTCTTACACGTTTGCCGCAGCTTCAGGATAGAATGGGCGGCCGCCTTCGACATGGTACTCTCGCATTAGCGCCGCGCGCATCCTCGTTACACTTCCACGAACAGTGTCTGCATGCATGGGGCTCTCAAGTTTCCCCCCCAGGCATTGGATGGGCCCGCCGAGGTCTCGCCGCGCTGCCGCCCGTGGGCGTCTCGTGGGCGCCCCGTTCGCTGGGCTGGTCCGCCGAGGTCTCGCCGCGCTGCCGCCCGTGGGCGCCTCGTGGGCGCACCGTGCGTACAGGACATCGCTCACGCCACGTTGCACCACGCAGCTCGCACCCCGTAGGTCGTACCAAACGGAGGGCACCACGTAGCTCGCACCCAACAGCTCCCAGACCATATCTCACACCATATAGATGGCACCACATAGCTTACACCACATAGCTCGCACCACACATAGTGCACTGTGTATATGTATACTTATATACACATATATATATATATGTATACATCTATATTCACAGTTCAAGCAGAACGATGTAGCCCACACCCCCTCCTGGGCCCAGTCTTTCAGGGTCGCCCTGGGACATTTTATTGCATATAGTAGGCTATTCTGCCTCACCGTCCACTTTCCATCTGGAATCATGCCGTCCCTCCCCAGCTGGCATCGCGCCCCTCGCCCCTGTCAAGATAGTATTATGCGCGGTATTCTTCGCGCGCACTCGATATCTATCGCAATTGTTTTTCATTGTCAATAGTCGCCGCCGAGTGCATGACGCAGTACCCACACGTCATCCACATGTTTTCTAGTCTTAAGTCGGGCCTGCCCCTTTACAGGAGGAGTATCCCAAAGTAGTCAAAAGTAGTCAGGGGACATTTTTTTAATTCTTTCTATATATTGTTTTACTGTTTTGTTGGTTCTCTTCATATTTTGGGCATTTTGGGAGTATGTATAACGTTTCGTCCAACATCCGCCTGTAGGGGGCATGCCCGACCTACCTCTAGTCATGCCAACAACATACAGTTGTCCAACACCCGTCAGTGCTTTGCCAGACATCTCCCCGATGTTCTGCCCGCGCGTATGTGCTACAATCACAGGAACGCCGTCAGGTGTCAGCAAATCTCGTCCATACCCCGCACTCTCATCTCACCACGCGGTGCGCCGGCTGATCTAGCGTGCGCCCAGTGCGCGAGCCCGTATCACATAGTAGTAGCATGTGGGCTTCACGCGTGCGCCGCCACGCGCGCGCGCGTCGAAATCCGTCGAAAACCATTGGTTTTCGAAGCATTTCAAGATGTAGCTTTCAAAAGATATGTCACAACCGCATGCCTTCCACTTGAAAGTCTGCCAGGTTTCTTGCCTTTCCGCGCGCTCGCACTTCCTCACCACCCTCAGCAGCGCCGCGGAATCACGTCATCGTCCTCGACAGTTGCCGCCTTCGCCGCATTACTCAAGCACTCGCGCCACCGACACGTGGACGTCATCATCGTCATCGTCGTCATCGCCACCGCCATCACTTTTATCATCATCGTTACCGCCGTGTTCGGTGTCATCTTGAGACCGCGCCCGCCTGAGTTTCCGACCCGCGCTGAAGTTCCCGCGCGCCAGCGCGGCCTCTAAGACGCGCTGGGAAGTTGCCATCGGGGAGCGCCATCGCGGTCGCATCGGTTGTGCCAAACCAGCTGGCCGCTCTGCGCGCGAGTTTGCGCGCGCGAGCGCAGCCGCAGAGATGCGGCGAGGAGAAGGAGGAGGAGAAAGAGATGCAGCAGGAATGATGATGATGATGATGATGATGATGATGATGATGATGAGGAGGAGGAGGAGGAGGAGGAGGAGGAGGAGGAGGAGACCCAGTGCCCAGGAGCCACCGCAACCAGGAGGATGGAGCCCACACTTCTCCTGGGCCCTTCCCCCCTCGGCAGGCCGCCCTGAGACTTTACAGTCGCAGGCCTAGAGGTGGACACCAACACCAAGATCGGCGGTGTGCTTTCCCCGAGGGAAGACGATCCCGATCTCTGTGATGGTGGTGATATTCTGGCTTCCAAGGTGACCGGAATATTACCACCAACACCGACATCTAGGATCAATTCCCCCATGTGGAGTCAAGCACTTGTGCTGGTGTTGGTGCCAATTTCCAGGCCGTCAGTACAAGGCACACCTGATTCTGCCTCACCGTCCATTTCCATACGAACTCATACGGTTCCAGCCGAACAGGTTTTGACCTTTCTCATCTTCGCCACATAGAGCAATGCGCGCACTTTCGTTTATCTCGAATCGTTTTTGGGGGATATTCGCGGGGGAGCAATCTACAAAATTCCCACGCGCGCACATTTCGAAACCAGACCGACCACGTGAGTTATGCAAGCGCTTTGATCGGAAACTTTGAACGCGTTTGGGTTTTTCCAGGGCCGGTTTTTCAGATGTTCTGCCCGCGCACAGTTGGTGACATCATAAGAAAGCCGTTTCATGTCAGCAATCTCGTTCGGAGCCAGCAGTTCTCACCCCGCCACGCGTTGCGTTCCCACCCCGCCAGCAGTCCTCACCCCCCCACCCCGTTCAGCACGCGCGCCCTGCACGAGCTCGCATCATGTAATACCATGCGGGCCATACGAGCACCTCGTCGCGCGCGCGTGTCGAAATCTTTTCAACACCGGAGGTTCTCAGAGCGCTCCAAGATGTAGCCTGTCAAACACATATGAATACTGATTTGTTCTCCCACCAAAAAACTGCCAGACGTCTTGCATTTCTAGGCGCGCACTTCCCCGCCACCACCCTCAGCAGCGCCGCCGCATCACCGCCGCATCACCACCTTTATCGTCATCGTCGATCGCCGCCACTGCCGCCGTCATCAGTCAATCACCCTCGCCACCGACACATGGGCATCATCATCATCATCATCATCATCATCATCATCATCATCATCATCGTCATCGTCGTTACAGGCATCGGCGCCATCATGATCCTTGCCGTCGTCATTGTCATCATCGCCTCCACCATCGCTACTATCATCATTATCATTGCCGCCGTTGTGGACGTCATCATCTTACCGCGCCCGCCCGAGCCACCGACCTGCACCGAACTGCCGTGCGTCAGTGCTGCCTTTGAGACGCGCTGGGAAGTTGCCATCGCTAAGCGCCGTCGCGGCTGCGCCTGTCGTGTCA